ATAAGGTAGCCCAGTTCCAATCCATGTGTCCTTTATTCAGCTATAAGAGTGGGTTCGGAACTCTGTACATCCCGGCTCTTCAAGCACTTTCCCTCTCTCAAGTCTTCTACATGACTATTTCCATTTTCTCAGTATCACCTCCCAGAAACTTCTCAGAAATGCTCTTAGAATCAACACAGGCACAGGCCCTGCAGCAATCTGTGCATGTACAGAAGAATATGTGTGTCTCCTGCCAGAAATGACATTTTACAGGGTTATACGACCACGATCAGGAGTGAATAGAGGAGTAGTTGAGAGCAGATCCTGCTCTTGTTGGCTTTTTTTTGTAAACAAAAAGCATTTTGGTTAGTCTCCAACCAAACCAAGTGGTCCCTAATCATTCCAAACAATGTTAATGTGATCTCTAGTCAACTTGATATTAAAAGGCCTCTAAGTTAACTCAGACATTCACTTCTTGATCTTTTCTAAATTGTTTTCCTCCTACAACCAAATCTGCATTTGGAGCACATGGCATAGACCCTCTGCTAGGTTCATAGGCAAAGATAAATACCAACAGTTGGGTCCAGAGTATACCCTTCACTGGAGCTATCCACTCTTAATAAGCCACCTCTTCTCCCTGCTTTTTGCAGTGCAGAAAGTTTGTCTGCCCTAAATAGTGTTTCCTGGGGGTTGAGTTGGCTGTCATGGGGGAGAGAAAGGTGGGAATTCTCTTTCCTCCAGCCCATTTCCTCGTGCCTACCTCAGCATCACACACAAGCATCACATTCGACTATCATTTTAGCTTAGGTTTGGGAATTATGACCCTTATGTTTGCATGAACAATTTTTATAGCATTGTAAGTAGATGCAATAAACCATGGCTACAGTAAATGTAGTACTAAAAAGGCACATTACTGATATCTCTCTTTTCTCGGTTGAGTTTATTGAAGAAGTCTTGTGGTAGTTTTAGATCTTACCCTAGTCTGTTTTTAGGTGGAACACAATCAATATTTAACTGGGAGGGGTATTGTTCTTTATCAATGGCTGAAATGCTACTGAGTAATTTATGCCTGAAGAAAGGTGATGGGGTCACAGGTAGGGAACAATTTTCAGTAACTGAAAACTTTCTACCTCTGTCCATGGCTTTTCCAACCCCCATGCAATCCCTTCATCATATGGAAGCTGTGGGATGGAGGGAGGATGTTTTTAATTACCAAAAATTGCACCCTGATGGTAATGTCATCTGGTGGCAAAAGTTTTTAATAATAGGCAATGAACTATGTAACAGGATTTCAGTCAGTGATCAGTTTCTAACACACCGTTCCACTCAGAAACATCATAAATGTAGACTTCTAGATGTCTTCAAGAATTATCTGGAAGACCAGAGCATTATGCCTGCTTTATCAAGAGAATTCTATAAAGACGTCCAGTGCCAAAATGAAGGAGGGATAGGGGCATACTTAGTAAATGGATTGACTAGGAACACTGCCAAGAAACTCTTCAATTTAATTTGGTTTATTTGTTTGGACCAATAGCCATAACAAAAAGCTATGAATGAGGTAAAAACAAACAGAGAGAAAAAAATCAATCAATACATATAAAACAACACACATTAATATGCCTAACAAGCTTTTGTTTAAGCTGTTAAATTTCATTAGCCTCCTAAAATAATGTATACCTAATGTTGATTGAAAGAAAGAAAAAAAGAAAGAGCAAAAGAAAGAAAGAAAGTTGATTAAATCTCTGTGTTTATCTCTGCTTAATAACTATATACTGTCAAGTTGGCTCTGCCTTGTGGTGGCCCTTTCCTGGGTTTTTTATGTAAAGAATGCTCAGAAGTGGTTTACCGTTCCCTTCTTCTAGAGTCTTCTGGGACTGTGTTGTTTGTTTAAGATCATAAAGGCTGTCTCTTCTCCCAAGAAGCATAGTGGGAAATCAAACTTTCTCCTAGCACATCTGTGTCCTTCTCTTTTAGTATAGGAGAATCAGATTTTAAATAAATATATAGTGGGCAAGTGGGACTTGCAACAAAATGTATAGAACAGTCAGCTCCAATGAGCCAGTTGCAATCTCTTTCATGGCCTTCCATTAGATCTCCCTTCTCTCTTTCCCACCAAACAGTGAACCATAGCAAATAAATGTGCTCAGTCTCATCAAGCTACTGGAGTGTATACTCCATTTATTTATTTATTTATTTGTATATTGTGCAGACTTTGGGTTCTCCATGATATCTTCCTCTTGTGCTCACAATGAGTCATTTTGGCTACATGAGGGTTCATATCCAGAAAATGGTCAGAATCCTACTGGTGTTCACATAAAGTTTGCGTAACTTGCCACAGCCAGTTGATGAGGGCTGGGGTGTGTCTCCGTCATGTGCCTGATTATATGGCAAACAGCACAACTGAGATGCACCCTGGCATCTTAACAGCAATTAGCTACAGCAAATGATGTGCAACTTACAGGAATGCCAATGGAATTCTGACCAGCTAGTCTGCTATTAAAATATTGGATGCCCTGCTGTGAATTGCAATGTAGGGAAAAAAACAGCCTTTCAACCTGATACAGAACATAGTCAAGACAGTATGGTGGTATTCTGAAGAATACAATAACAATGAAACTGACAGATGTTCATGTTCTTTATCATCAGTGTCTCAGCCTCACATTCACAGTTCTCTGCATTATGACCATTTTATCAGTGTGAGGTGCAGAGAGTCTGAGCACGGAGCACTCACTTTAAAAACACCACCACCATTGCCACTACCATTGCAAATACTCTCTCTGCATTGGCACAATATGAGTACAGTATGTTGTCTGAAACAGACACCTGCAAATTCAGGTAGAACTGCGTGAATACATTTTGCTTGGGAGACAAGAGAGTTTGTTTCCTTCTGTTATTGCCACTGAGTGCTCAGTACAAACCACGCACCATTTCTGATGTTAATTCCTTAGAGGGAACAATTAACTAAACGACAACTTGAGAGGCTACAGCAGAGACAAAACATTCCCCATGACTGGGTTGTAGGTATAAATATTACTTTTCTTTCATGCTGAATCTTATTACCCTGTCACTAGCAAATAGGGTGCTTACAGTTACACCATGTGTCAGAAATACTTTCATCTAGTATAGACGGCCATGGCAAGATTTCTCAGAAATGATGTATTTAGAAGGCTTTTAAACTTTTTCAGTTTTTTTCTTGATTGGGGGGGCAGTGATTTGAAGTCTATTTAAATATCTGGGATCAGCAAAACATGGTGATTATCATGTTCTTGCATCCTAATAATCATGTAATGATTCCAGGCTAGAGAGTGAGGAGAATGCCTACACCCTAGGAAGTGACAAAAGCACTTTCAGGTTTTGCTGTCAGAGTGGACATTAGCAATGCAATTCTACTCTGAAGTAAATCCCATGGGGTTCAGTGAGGCTTCCTTTCTTCTGCTGATTTTATCCTAGGAGTGGACTGTCAGTTTCTGATTTCTCTGAAGTCCCCCCCCCCAAGATGGAGCATTTGAGCTGCTTTGTCCCCACCCCACCCCTTTATTTGCTTGGCTCCCAAGAAGCATGATAGGGATGTGGTGGTGCTGTGGGCTAAACCGCAGAAGCCTGTGCTGCAGGGTCAGAAGACCAGCAGTTGTAAGATCGAATCCATGTGACGGAGTGAGCTCCCATCGCTTGTCCCAGCTCCCACCAATCTAGCGGTTCGAAAGCATGCAAATGCAAGTAGATCAATAGGGACCACCTTGGTGGGAAGGTAACAGCGTTCCGTGTCTAAGTCGCAATGGCCATGTGACCACGGAAGATTGTCTTTGGACAAAATGCTGGCTCTATGGCTTGGACATGGGGATGAGCACCGCCCCCTAGAGTCGAACATGACTGGACAAAAATTGTCAAGGGGAACCTTTACCTTTACCAAGAAGCATGAGATCTACCAGGATTTGCTTGCAAACCATTGTGTAACTAAATCTCTTCAGCACAAAGAGCATCAGGTTTGGCAGTTGGTTCCCAGGAAATGCAAATACAAGGAGGAGGGGATGCAGTGGCTGCTGTGCATGGATTAAAGCAAAAGGCGCATCTCCAAAATGACGAGAAGGGAAAGAGAGCTAGATAGAGGCAGCTGTAGTGTGTTTCCCCCCCTCCACTGCATCTCCATCACTCACCACTAAGCAGCCAAACCGTTTTGCCTTTGCTTTGCCCTTAACATCTCAGTAGACTTTGGGATGGCTTCTTGCAAATTCCATCTTGGTGTGTGCATGATTTCTCCTACTTGTCTTCTTCCCAGCTTTGTTTTTAACTGGCAAGTGATACATCTTTTGGTCGCTTGCCTGTCACTAAAGATGGGAAGGAAAACTGTGTATGTGCAGGTCTTTTAAGTTAACCTGTTGACTAGTGCATCAGCACTAAAGCTGCAAAATGACCTTGTGCTAAATTCCTATTCCTGGTTCAATCTTCTGAATTAAAAAAACTCCAAACCAAACTGACATATTTCTTTCTGTTTCGTATTCTGCTTCTTTAGTAACGGTTAGATTGTATGCTGTTTTATTGTTGCAGTTACATTTTTTTTACATTGCATGCTATACACTACCAAAAGAACTTGGGTTAGCTGTCAATTTAACAGTTCAACAATAAATAAATATTGATCAGGAATAAATGGAAGTAAAATTCACCCTCATTTTCAGAACAAATAAAATTTGACAAATGTAACTATTACAAGCACAGGGAGGGTTGTGTTTTTCCAGCTTGCTTTAAGTGTGTAAATAAAGCAAAACAAAATAGACCGTATTGCCTGTCCGAGTGTCTTTTCCTAATGTCTTCCAAACTCTACAGTTTTGAGCTAACAGCAATTGCATGTCCATTCTGTTAGGACTAGCGACAGTTACTTAGTGAGTTAGTGAGTTAGTGAGTTAGTGAGTTAGTGAGTTAGTTTATTTATATCCAGCCTATCTGGTCTTACGACCACTGTGGCCATTGTTAAATATTCAGCATGGATCTGCTCTTCAGGCTGTTTGGAGACTGCAGATACTCACTAGTGCAAAGTCCTTGTTGAGAATCATCTGTTCCACTAGCGATGACTCATTATGGAAGAGATGAGGTTGCATGTGACTCCACATGTGAGGAAACCACCAGAACTCATCCACAGAACTCAACAACAAGTCATCACCTTCATCTTCTTCAATAGTTCCTGCGAAATGAAGAAAGGCGTGGGTAATATCAGGGCTTTTGAGGCCGTGGGATTTGCGTCAGAAATAATGCTTGAAGATTGTTGTTTTTTTTAAAAAAAAAACCAGAAATATTTAATGAAAGATCGTACACTGCTTAACGATTATACTTTACCAAAGAAGTATGTTTAATAGTAATCTCATGTAGGATTCCATGCACTTGCTGTCATATATAAATGGGTTTCTGGTACCTACGTGTGTAGCATTTGAACATCAAGAATTGGTGGCCTAACTGCTGTTCAGGAGTTTAACCTGAAAGCATGAGGGACTGGGACTGTGGTGGTGACATGGAAATGCAGCTGAGTCCCTCACCCCCCATCCCCACCGAGAAGGAAGACATTTCACTTATTCATTACAAAAGTTTGCAAAGGCATCTGTAAATGAGCTGAGCTGAATGTGCATACAGAGTTTTCATGACTGGGAACTCTACTGAAGCAGGGGTTTTAATCATGGGGAAATGGTTTAAACATGCTGCCCCCTCTATGCTGTCCAATAACATCTGAATGGGGGTCTAGTCATGGATGCTTTACACCAACAGCCACTTTTTATGCGATGCCAACTGCAGAGAACTAAGGATACTTAAGTATTTAAACATAACATTATGTCTGATTTGCTCCTAAAGATTAACCTAGCAAAAGAGCTGCAGCACTGGAATCTACTTGTACCATTATAGACTAGGTTATCATATATGGAGTGTACCCATCCAATCCAATCAGCAGGGAATACCCTGTGAAGCCTTCTACCACCATAGGAAGTCTGGTGGGCAAGGATGTATGAAAGCCTTCTTCGCTGCAGAGCCTAGCCTGTAAAAATCACATCTCAGGAGATCTGTTTCATCCCCCCACCCTGATACTTCCTAGCTACAGTGAGCAGCTGCAAGCATAGCAGTTATGAGATTACAAATCAAGATGTTACCAATTCATGTCTACCATCTACTCATGATGTTGTCCTTAATAAAATACTGATAAATCAGTCTCTTCCATATGCTGTTTGACTGTGGGGAAAATGTGGCCTTCCATATGCTGTTTGACTACAACCCCCACCTTTTCTTATTGTTGTCCATGCTGGCTAATAGTGGGGGTGGCAGCCTGAGAAATGCCCCAGTGCAATCCTAACTCAACAGATATGTCTGCCTGCCTGCCCACCCCCCCTCATTTGTCTGTCTGTCTATCTATCATTTTAATTTATCCACCCAGACACCCAGAATGGCACAGACCACAATACCATTACGTAAATAACAAAGAATAGCAAACACAACAAATTATAAAATATTTCAGTTACCCATAGCCTAAAGTCTACAGTTTAATCTTATTCGCATCACCATATAATGAATATTTGTCACATAAGTGATGGAATTACAGTTTCCTAACATCCAAAGGCTTTACATTCCTTCCTGAATTCCTGCAGGGATGTCGTATTTTGCAGGAAGAGAATTCCAAAGCATAAGAGCTATATGAAAATATGTTTTCCTAAACAGGACAGCTTTAATGGTTGGGACCTTTAGAACTGACATTCTGGATGACTTCAATTGGTACAGGGGCTCATATAGGGAGAGGTGGTCCAGAGGATATGGGGATAGAATTAGGCACAAGCCTTTTTCTGTCGTTTTAGAGATTTGCTAACAGAAGGAGCTGCCAGCAGAACTACTAAGATCTGTTAGCTAGAAAGGTGGGGTTTCAATCACCATGAATGCAGTTGTTTGATCTTTAAGAATGTAGAAACAGTGGGCTGAAATTACACCAGATTTTTCATTGGTGTAAAATCAGTCTTGAAGTACTGTTTTTAAACATAACAGAAGGGATGAAGGCAATGATTAAGATCCAACCAACCCTAGTAAGGCTGCTTCTTTTTTTAATCTATCTTTCTCAAATCTACCTAGTTTTCCTCTACTGGCTGCTCTACAGTTGTTTTGGACTGCAGTTGACATGGCCAATGAGGAAAGATCACGAGAGCCAAAATCCAGAACATTTAATAGCTCCAGGTTAAGGAAGGTTCTTTAAACTGTGATGGTGGCATAGGGTTGTTATCTAAGTATACCAAGACAAGTATATTTGATGAACCTTTTTTCCATCTGAAAACAATGACAGCGGTCTCCAATGCTTTGTAAACAGGTTCCAATTCTTTGTAAATTTCACTAATGAAAATAATGAAAGATTTAAGGTTTATCACTTGACTTGCAATGTCCATATTGCCTGGTTTTGTTTGTGGAGCAGGACCTATGTTTAAGCAATCCATTTCTTTGCTTTTGATCTCCAGATTTTAGCAGTTACCCTGTGCTAGAGGGTATCATTTACTTTTTTGAGTTCTTTCTGATAATCTCTTTATTGTCAAAATCATCAATGTGTACAAGCAGTTATGTATAGTAATAAAATACAGCATGAAGAGAATACTTGATATAAAGGTAAATACATCATGATGCATTCTTGTATCATATTTGTCTAATGCACATAATTGCTGGTGGACTCCAATAACCTGGATTGGGGGGCACAAAATCATAGATGAAGGGATGGAACTGAAAAGTTTCAGAGTTTTCTGCTGGGGAAAACTAGACATGAACTATAACTGATCCTCAAGCATCACTGTTACATCCAAAGTGGAGTGTTATACATGTCAGAGTCATGCCATTGGAAGAGTAACGTAACATGAAGGAGCATGCAGGAGGAATCGATTCAACCTTATTGTTAGACTCCTATTAATTAATTCAATACCTTTTAAGAGGTATTTAATTGTTCTAGCAAAATGAGCAGCTGTTTCACTGGTTACCAACTGAGATACAACATGCTGCCTTTATGTATAGAGGATGATGATGTAGGAAATTTACAGTCTTGCCAGTGGAACTCTACCACAGAGAAGCCCCCCCCCCCCCCGTTTTCGAGACAGTATATTAACCTAAAAGGTTTAGAAAACATTATCTTGCTATTTTTAGTGTCTTCTTACTCTGCTCTTCTGGTCAATAAATATAGTTTGCTTGTGGGCAATTTCAGTTTCAGTGCATCAGGAATGGTGTACCTCACTAGTCTATTTGGGCTTCTGAAATTACAAATGTAAGACCCCTGCTAGGTCAAAGCAAAGTCATCTAGCTCAACATCCTGCTTCACACTTTTCCTCCTAAAAGTCTGTTAAGCAATGGAGGAGGACATTAACCCTCCACTCTCTTTACCCTGCTCCTTAAATTACTGCTCAATGACACTCTGCCTCTGAAATAGGGATTTAATAACCATTTGCACAGAAATATCCCCCAAAGTAGATGCCTCTCTTCAGAAGCCCATAAACAGGATTAGGATGAGCAGAGTCCCATCACAGCTTGTCTTAATCTTGCAAGCAGCACCTCTCCTTCATTGATCCTCTTTCCGAAGGGTCCAGTAACTTGTTCAGTGCCCCAGGATAGAGCAAGTGGTGATCACTTGGCAGGCCCTAGTAGATCGTTTTGCCTGCTAGGAATAGGAATGGGATATTCACTCTTTGCTAATCTGAACAGGGAGGGGCCGCATCATGATAACAGCATCAAAGCTTGGAAAAATTACTTTTTTTTCTACACTGGAATCTCCCAGTCATGCTAGCTACAGGATTCCGGATGTTGAAGCCCAAAAAGCTATTTCTGCAAGCTCTGGGTGTGATAGGAGAATATAATGAAGAATGTGATGATTATATGAAGCCCAAGTCTATAACGTCTGAAGGCACTTGATAGTCCCAATTAAAGTAGGCCATCAATGGCTCTACTGAACAGGACTATATAAAGTGTCGGCTCACCATTCAGAGGGTCTCCACTTATTGAGACTAGCAACTGGATTTCAGCCTGTCACTTATAAATATGTCTGATTTTTTTCCCTTCTGGAATGCTCATTTCACTTTTGAGTTTCAGGATGGAGAAAATAACTGTCCATGAAAGCACAAGTCAATAAGGCACAGTCATTTCAATGCACTAATAAAACATGTTCTGCTTCTTACAATAAAAGCCTCCTTGGGTAAACAAGCCACATTTATGGTAATTAAAGAATACCTCACCATGTTTTATTTATAATGAGTCAATAAAGTGCATGTTTGCATGGGGAATATTTTGACATTCTATGTTCAAGCGACAAAGCCACCATACCAGATTTAAAAGTAAGGCTCACTTTAACTCTAAGATGCTTGACTAAATTCACATTACAGTGGTTCCCTTGATGGAAGGCCCCACCATGCCTCAACATATTTAGTAGTTTCACATTATTTTAGTGAGCCTTATAAAACCCCAGGGAATACACAGTCATAGGCACATGGACACTATCTCAGTCTTGGCACCGTCACAAATTCAGTATTGATAATGTTCAAGTCAACTGGGAAATAGAAAACTTGAACAGTTGGTATGTGATATAAATTTTTGCCATTGAGCTCCCAGAGGACACAGGGACAGACAAGCAAAATATAATCAAAGTGGCAAGTCAGATTTTCACAGCTCTAAGTAGGAAAAAACTTCTTATTAGGAAATTTGACAGCATTTTAAAAATAGAAGTTGCCCCATCATTTATATAGACATGCCATTTTTAAATGTGCATGTATTTGGGAAGATTAGGGTTACATTCACATAATCCACTCTCTGTATGCCTTTCTAAGACTACTGATGCTACTCAAGAGGGATCTTATATTTTTTCACCATTTGAATTGTAACATGACAACTATAGGGCTTTATTTATTTATTTATTTATTTATTCATTCATTACAGAGCACTGCACATTTTTCAATCTTGAATGCAGAGTGGTCTGATAGATAGTCACCCACTTCCAAGAGACCTACTCTGCTTTTTTCGCACTTTGTGTATGCTTTCATGAACTGTGTTATTCACCACTTTCCACAACAGAATCCTGGCACTGAAAAAACAAAAACTAAACAACCCCCCTCCCCCCGAAAAAAAACCCTTAGGATGAGGTCTTTATCAATGTGGTACAAAGTAAACTTTCTTCATCTTTTTGTAGACATCCAATTC